GTGAAATAGTCCTCAAAAGCTCTGTTTGTATTTCAGGGTGAAAGGGGTCTGGTGAGCTTGAGCAAGCTATTATTTTGGGGATAAAAAATGCCCAGCATGGGAGTTCCTTAGGAGCACTGCTTTGAGCCTTCACACTCAAACCCCACTCACAATCGTGCACAGGCCACCTCCGGAACTGTGGACAAGGAGCTTATCTGGGGTATACAACCCATCTTCTGCTCTCCCTGGAGCTTCTGCTTCACAAAGTAGTGTGATCTGGGGCACACAGTGCAGAAAGGCTTCCCCTCACCCATGGTACAAACCAACCCAGAATTAGGCCAGAGGCAAGTAGCAAGGTAGGTGTGAGCAGTGAGGGATGAGGAGGCATCTGTGGATGGACACTGCTGTGGTGCACCACAGTGGGGCCACCATGGGCATTGCTCTGGACAATATACTTGTCTCAAAACCCCTTGAACAACAGGAAAGCTTTGCTAGCTCTCTCTTCTGCTTGCTCCATCCTCAGCTGCTCTTGGACCCTTTCTTGCACAGAGGTAGTGTCACACACTGAGATTTGTGCCTCTCATCCACTCTGGCCACTGAATCCAGGTCAGGGTCTCTCTGCAAGACCCTCTTTCCCCTTCATGTGCACATAAGGTGTCCCTTACCACAGATGTAATCCAGAACTCTTGGTTTCAAGCAGGAGGCTTCCTGAGGCAACAGCAGGCAGCAGTCTGCACCAAGACACTGTGGAACAGGGCTGCATCGTCAGCATGCCAGGAGGTTGCTCGCTCATTAAGCCTAAGTACATGCAGCTGTGAGCAGGTGCAAAGAGGGATCCATCACTGCTGAGCAATGGCCCTGCCATGGGGATGAAAGTGAATCTCTGTTCACTGCCCCTGGTGAGGGAGACTGAGGAAGCCCAGGATCAGCCTTTTTGTTTCACATCCACAGGGCTCTCATGTCCCCTCTGCAGCCACTGAGACCAGGCATGGGCAGGGAAAGGGTGACAGGGCACAAGGTAGCACGCAGGCTCATAGGTGAGGGTCTGCAGTCACCCCTGAAACCACTCTTGTGATTCCCAGCCTCTGCAAGCCAGTGGCCAATGCTTACAGAAAGCCAAAGGGTTAATGAAAAGCTTTTATACATTTGGATTCATTAGCAGGGACTCATTAAACAGCAAATAAGAGCCTGGATGCTGACAACAGCCCTGCTGAAGGCAGGTCCTGCGGGTGAGGCAGCCCGGGACCACAGGAGGTACATATCACCCCTTGGTAGACCATGGCCAGGGCATTCCACCAGAGATGGGAATCAGTGCAGGAGGGTGCTGGCAGCAAGCATCTCTCCATCTCATACCCAGGGCTTTAATGTCTATTCACAAGACTCAACCGTTCAGACTGCTGATGTGACACCCAGTTCTGTCACCTTGACAAGGGGGCTGAGATCTTGCCATCTCTGTCCTCCCAGTCCATGTGAGCACATCAGGGAGACAGGGATGGGTGCATGACAGCTGAAGCCTGTGGCCCTCCACTTTGGCATGAGGTATGAGAAGCAGAGCACCCACGCATGGTTGTATGAGACCTGCAGCTCCATTAATGCTTTCATGTTGGAGCATGCTTGTCCCTGGCTGGTATCTCATGGAATGTGCTGCACCATCATTGCAGAGCTTGCATCAAATGTTTTTCTGAGTGATGGTGTGCTACCGGCCAGCACTGGAGAAGGCTGTGGCCACCTGGGCCACTACTGGACAAGCAGCAGCCTGTGCAAGCCTACATCTCCCTGTTGCCTCCTAGATGGGCAGGAGCCCACAAGCTGCCCTGTGTGCAAACACATGGGGAGTGCGGGATGTTGGGCATCTTTCCAGGGACCCCATAGACAGCCTGGGCATGGCAGAGGCTGAGGAAGGTGAGGCACAGACTGCCTGCTCTGGGGATGGCCACTGCCTGGTCCTGGGCAGGATGGACCACGCTGTAAACAGGACAAGGCTTGTAAACAGGGCTCCAGCTGGGATAAATTTAGCTCGTTGGGGTTGCAGCCCTGGCGCGGCAGGACACGGTGTCAGGGCATTGTCGAGAGGAGATGGGGAGAAAGAAGCTGAATAAACAAACACAGCTTGTCCCTGTTTTTTTTCTGTCCCAGTGTTGTTATTTCAGCCGGACAATTGCCCTGCACATTGAGGGAACAGGCTGGAGTTCAAGTGAATTTAGCTTCCAGCACCTTCCCTTTTACATTGTGTTTTCACATGGGAATGTATCTTGGTGTATATGGGGGGGTGTCCATACCTCTGTGAGTGTATGGATAACTCCATGGATGCTCATGAGCATCTCCGGGCTGGTCCACAGGATATGGGCTGCTTTGAAGCCCAGGTGAGGCCAAGTAACTTGGTGTTGACTGTCATGTAAGACTTTGCTTTCTCCATGTGCATAGCCAGGACTAACACCCATGGGTGTCCAGGAGCACATGTGCAAGGTGATTGGTGCTCCGTATGCCTCTGTGCATGCCTCTGTGTGTGGACCACCCCTAGAAGTGTCCCTTCATGGCAGAGGAGATGCTGTAGAGGTGAAAGTCTTTGCAGGACTTTACAAATGGGGATCAGGACTCCTAAGCCTGTCTCCTCTAGTCCTGACATGAGGTTTGGGCAAGTCCTGTTCCCTTGACAGAATCATCTGTGATCTCAGGAGCAAAGAGCACAGATTTTCTCTCTCAGCCCTGCTCTGTGAGGGCCCAAGTCTTTTCTAAAGGCCATGTTTAGAGGCAGACTAATTTTCATGTCTTCATTTTATTTTTCTCACATCTCTCTGACACACACATACACACACACTCTTCTATTGAAAAAACGATTTTAATACCCATGGCACATTGTCCTGGTGTGATATAAAATCCAATGACATGTGGCATTTGGAAAAGGTCATTTCCCCCATCAGGATTCATTATCCTACCTCAGCCTCGGAAGCCAAGGGGTTGCCCCTTCCTCCACAGACCCCTTGCCCCCTCCCTGGCTGCATGGGGCAAGCAGGGACCAAGGATGAGGCCCTGGGTGGCCATGGTGGGGACTTCGGCAGCGTCAAGGCAGTCCCTGCAGTGAGGGCTCTTGTTTCTCATGTTGATGTCCCTGCCCTTCCCAGTGCCTTCATTTTCCCACCTACCACAGGGCAAAAGGAGTCACAGGGAGGTCCCAGGCCACAAAGCTGACTCTGCCAGGCGCATGGGGCTTGCTTTGGCTTTCACCTGCCTCCCCCTGCTCGCTGCTCCCTCTCTGTTCCCTTTCCTTTCGAGCAGGAGCTGGGTCTTGTGGTGCCCTCACTCTGCACTTTCAGAAGGGAAACACTCCCCTTCCCTGTTTCACTTGTTCAGTGCCTTGACTGGGTTAGTTGGGAAGTGCCCTTTCGTGTCAGTGCTACCACCACCTAGGCAGAACTGGGAAGAGAAAGCAGAGGGGACATGGAAAGCCCAACTCCTCCTTGGCCAGCTTCCAAACCAAGCAAGTGGTCCCCAAGGTGTTTCCAGCTACTCCCTGAAAAGGCAGAAGGACACAGGAGGGCCAGACTTGCTTGGAGGCTGCCTGGGGATGCTCAGGGAATGTAGTCCCTTGCAGGGCAGCACATGGGCTATTCCTAGCAAGTCACCCTATGAGCAGGGGACTGGGAGCCAGGACTTCTCCACTTGGTCACAAACCACCCTGAGGCGCCTCGATCAAGTCATAACCCTGTTCTCCACCTTCATGGGAAGGAAGAGGCGAGGGTATGTGCACCAAGCATGCAGAGAGCTCTGAGCTGCAGGAAGGGAGGGATGTGGGGAGCAGGAGCAGTTGTTCCTGGGGAGAGGAGGGTTGTTTTTGTAGCAGGGAGCAGGGTCTAATGTCTGTTGAAGATGACTTCTCAGAGTGCTGAGGGTGATAGTGAGCATAGCCCCTTCCTACCGTATAAACACCGATGAGTTATGGGTACCCCAGCCTCTAATTATGCAGTCAGCCCCAAATAGGCTGTGTCTAACGAGGCTGACAGACTAATATCTCAAGAACCCTTAATGCGTTATCATCTCTTGCTGTATGACCTCATATTTATAACTGCTCTGGTGGGAGGTTGAGAAATGTCCTTCTCTTCCCCCAGCCCCCTCCCCAACTTTCCCCCTCCTCCCCGGAGCAACAGCTCTTCAGCCTCATCTGTTAGGATCAGGAGGAGAGAGGCGACTTCTCTCCATCCATCATGAGTGGGGTTTGCGCTATTAGATGATTAAAGACATTTTTTATAATATTTGGAAGAGGCTTTGAAATGTCTCTCAAACAGTGTGATTAATGCCTGTTAACCCTCGCCTGGCCAGGATGGGGTGGTGGGGATGCGCGTGCACCCTGGGGCAGGGCTCCCTGGGCACCGCAGAGGTCACCCAGCCGTTGGGCACCCCGAGCCCTGTGACAAGGTGTGATTCATGGGCCCGGGGCACCTGCAGGAAGCTCCGGCCTCCAGGCAGTTCCTAATGCACCGGGGACTTGGTGGTTTCTGAGGCTGCAACGGTCGGGGCAGGAGGAAGCAGTGCCTGCCCCTTCCCCAGTGCTTACAGAGGGGCCCCGGGGCACTGCTGGTCCCAGTCCATCAGCCAGACCAACCCACACCGGTGCTGTGGATTTCAAGGGTGGGAAGAGAGAGGATGTGAGCAGCCTGTGCCCCTTCACCGCTGGCCTGAGCTGGGCGGTGTTTGCTTTCCTCATTTCTCCTTCTTTTTCCTCGCAATGACTTGCTCTTAGGGACAAGTCTCCTCAGAAAAGAATCATGGGCATCTAGGTGCTCCATTACGATCCACCTTCAGGATGCTGCATCCTTGCTCAGAGTTTGCCATAAAGACCAGTGGGGCTGGGGGACATGTGCCAATATTGTCCAGTATCTACCAAAGGCCAAATCACTGACATTCAATGACATTGGTTCCCATGGGGAGTGGAGATTTGGCCTCAGATGGGGGAAGGACACCCTCCTCCTTTGATCACAGCCGCAATGTTTCATAATCTCAATTTCTTGTCAATTGATTGCCAGATAGAAGCGACAACCAAAGAGGGCCCCAGGCGTCTGCAACTGCCACTCATCGTATGATTTTAACTCTCCCCCTCTGTAAGTTTGCATTATTTTCTTGTTGTTGTTGTTGTTATCTAAAGAAACCTCCCCTCCCTCCCCTTCCAAATATGCTCCCGGAAATCCCAATGCCCTTGTCAATTCGGTGTTCAATGTACACATAGCTGAGAAGGGTTAATGCATGATTAATAGGTGTTTTATTAAAATGGTTAATCTGTCATGATACAGTCCAAAGGATCAATAGATTACTTATAATCATGGCTTAAAATCATCTTTAGCACTACTGCTTATGGGCTTAAGACCTGGGGCAAGATGCTTAGGGGACCTGGGAGTCTCCTGTTAACTCTTTCTAACCCTTCTGCCATCCGAAGTGTGACTGCAGACAGAGGAAAGCCAACACAGGGCTGTACATTCCGTTATTGTTAATATCCACCTTATGATTTATGGGTACTAAAATTGTCACACCTGGGCAACAGAAAAGGGAAACGGGAAGAAGGAGAAACTGGGAATGCAGCTGGATAAATGTTCTTTGTTAGGACTGCCAGCAGCGCCCGAGCAGAGCGAGGCGGGGACATGGCTGGGCTGTCTCTGATCCATTAGTGCCGTCGCAAAGCAGCAAGCCTTGGCCAAGCATCGCCCCATCACAGCCTTGCTCCGTCACTAATGAGTTCCAGCCTTGCACGGGGATGAAGCCATGTGGCTGGTGTGAGGCAGGGTGTTGGTAGCCAGGGAGGACCAGCCCAATGCCACCTGAGCCCCTTCCGTGTCCTCAGCGCCAGAGGGTGCTTTCCCTGCAGATGGATGATGATGTTGGGTCTGGTTGATGCAACCCTTTGGGGTGCCTGGTCCAAGCTGCTGTTTGATAACTCCAGCACTACCATGACAAATCCCAGAGATGCTGAGCTGCCGACCCCCAGCACAAGGTCTCTGCAGGAGGAGGTGCTGTTTAGACAGGCTGACACGGGAGCAGCTGAGCCAGTGCAGGCGGGGGGGAGCGCAGCCCCCTCTCTGCCCCTTTGCTGCCCCACAGCATCCTCTTCTCCACAGCAGAGGAGGGATCCTGGGGTCATGCAGGAGGTCTGTGGTGGAACCTGAATGGCAATGTAGAGGGCTGCACGAGCACTGCGCTCTGAGAATGAGGCACCAGTGAGTGGTCCCTGAGTGATTTTCAGAGCCTTGGCTATGGATGTTGGCTGTGCCACTCATGCAATGGAGACCCAGACCTGCTGCCTAGTGAGCAGAGCAGACGTTGGTGTGCTGATACCAGAAACCCCTCCCTGTGCTTCCTTTTCTCTCTTTGAGACGTGTGTGTGCAGCCCCAGCACCATAAGCTTGCCCGACGTTGGAGAACCTCGCTCAGAGGCTACTGGTTGCTGATGCTCTCTGGCAGTTTGGCCACACCAAGCACCATCACCACAGCCTTCTTCCCTCACCTCCTTGCCCTGCATGGCGGCTCTGCCCCACTGCCCACCAGGCTTTGCTCCCTCCCTGATGCCCCAGCCCATGCCAGCCAGCTGGCCTTGAACCATAATTCAGGTAAAATTAAAGCAAGTTCATACCATTACTTTCTCCTTCTCTTCCCTGCCTGTCCTGCACTCATCCTGCTTCAGAATAACTCCCTCCTGGCAAGAAATCCCAAGTCTTGCCCCATCCAACTGGTGGTGAGTGCCTGGCACAGGGGTCCCAGCCAGCCTCCCACCCCCACCGGTGCTCAGCATGGGGCTGGGAGGAGATTTTCCAGACCCCCAGCGTCCAGCCCTCTCCATCCCTGCCTCATTGCTTATTTCTGGCCATTATGCTCGACAGGGAGAATTTGTTTCTGTCCAGAGCAGATCCCCAGACAGCCTCAAACCCCTGAGGATTTATCATCCTGAGCATTTGTTTGTGGGTCTCCAGGACCCTCTGCCCCACAGCCAAGCCCAGATACTTCTCTGTCTCCTCCATGGAGCCTGCTATCACCCAGGAGCACTGACCCCTTTCCTCCCCTATGGATGCCCAGGCATGCAGGCTCCCTTGCATCCCAGTCACACACAGGCAGGATGCTGCAATCACAGGGGACATGTCCTACCTACTAGGATGGTGATGGCTGTGGCTCCTCTGGCTTTGTGGTTCACAGGGCTGCTGAGCAAGGTAGCCCAGGGCAGAACATACTGGGTTCCCAGCACAGAAAACCCTTGGGATAATTTGGTCATATTCAGCCTTCCCTGAGATCACTGGCAGGGGAGCCTGGACTTCTTGTCTCCTTGCAGCTCCCACACTGCATCCCTGCTTGCAGTCCTGCTCCATGGCAGCCAAGCATCTGGGAGGGCCAGGAACAAGTAAGGCATGAGATTTTGAGCCCCCTTTCTTGTCTCGGGGTCAGCACTGATGTTCCCTCAAACAGCATCGGCTGCCTGTGCCGAGTGACAGCGGGGTGAGTGGGGCCAGCGCAGGTGCCAGCACCACTGCCTGCCCTCTCCATCTGCGCAGATGCTCAGCTGCCCTGTGGTCATGATGGGGAGGATTTGAGGTCGCTCTCAACAGGTTCAGGTCTATCAGGACAGAGGTAGCAGTTGGCACAGCAATTAGGTTTGCATTAGAAAGCTACTCTGGAGGCTGCTGGAGTGTGATGGAGAAGGAAAGGGATGCAGGATTGGTCCACCTCATCCGCCTCATCCCCTCCCTGGCTGCCCACATTCCTCTGCAGCAGCACCAGGAAGGGGGGGGAACCAACCTTTGGCACCTTTATTGACACTCCCTGAGTTCATACTGTGCCTCTACAATCTTTCCCTGAGATTATTAAGAATTAATTGATCACTTTTATATTCCCCCCGATACCCAGTGCTGCTCCGCGACAGGCAGCAGGAGGAGGGAAGGAGCCGGGAGGAGGGCGGGGTGTGTGTAAAAACCACACTGATAAATGTTAATTACTCTTTTACAGCCCCTGTCAAATTCCAAAGCAAGTCGTAAATTCATTAAACTCTAACGGATTAAGCACATGCAGCTTATTTAGTCACCATAAACAAGATCATTTGGATGTTGATTTTCCCCTTTTTATTGCTGCAGCAGAAAAAGGGGGGGGGGAAATCAGATGAGGGAAGCAATAGGTTGTTGCCAGGGAGTCAGAAAAGTTTGGATTTATTTCCTATCTTGTTTTCTTGCTCTGTAGCAGCTCTCTGCAGCACATCAGTCTGCGGGTTGTGCGTGGGCAGTGTTTTGGAGGGAGCATGGCCTTACCAGGAGCTACATCTGTGCCCTGAGCGACATGGATACTGCATGGAATTTGCATGGACAGCCCTAGGGTGGAGGGGCTATGCTGCACAAAAGGTCTCCATGTCCTCTCTGTGCCACATGGCTGCCTTCTTAGTGCTGAGGCTCTTAAAGACCCAAACAAGGTCTGGGTACCAGAGGTGGGATGCTCAAGGACCTTTTGGTGGTGGTTTTGGGCTGGGCTGGCTGTTCTCCAAGGGTAGGTCATCTCTAGCAAGGCTCAACCCGGCCCCTGGGATGCAGGGATCTGCCCTTAGCCACTGTGCAAGGGACTGCACAGGCAGAGTTAGCATAAAAGCATCTCTGCAAATTCTGGGATGTTTCAGCTCGTTTAAGTGCTCTCCCCAAGGTGCTGACTGTGTCTAAGTGAGTGAGGTGTGTCCCCATCCAAGCCCAGCCATGAGAGAAGAGGCCAGGAAGGGACACCATGCTGGTGGGATGTGATAGGGCACCTCTGGCTGCTCTGAACACAAGACATTGCCCAGGGTCTGCCAACCCACTCAGTGAGCTTGCCATCTTCCACTTGCATGTGTTAATAATGCTGACTGACCTCCTGAGCTGTGAAAGCAGGGGAAAGAGAATAAGAGGAGGGTCATTGGGATTAATTAATACTCAGGGCTTTAATTATGAGTTTCTTCAGCACTGGGCTTCTAATGAGGAACAGGCACTGAAGCAGCCTCTAGTCCTGCTGCCCCCCAGCTGGCCCGGCTGAGATATCGAGGTATCTCCTGCCTCCTTGCAGAGAAGGTGTTACTGGGAGAAGGATGGGAGTTAGTCCCTGGCCACCAGCATCTCTCACTGGGGCTTTTGGCTGTGTGGCCAAGAAGTCACCGCACTGCTGTATAACCCCATCTGTGCTTCGGACTGAGTGCTGGAGACCTACTGCCACCCCCAGCACACCCAGCTCCCTGCCTTGGTACAGTACCTGAGAGTGGGATGGGGACAGGAGGTGGCCTGGGGGACCAGAGGACCTCGATGGATGACACAGCCCAGCCTCCGGTGAAACTACATCTGGAGCTGCAGGCAGCCGTGTGCTGCAGGCAGCAGAGGGAACTCTCAACACCTCACCAGATATCACTGCCTGCCATAAAAATACAGGGCTTTTGCTTTAGAGGCTTCAGCAGCACTTTGTCTAAGGGGAAGATGGGCACTGGAGGGGCAACTGCCTTCCCCCAGCCCCAACTCAGTCTGTGTCTCAAACAAGTACAGCCAAGAGGGTCTGAGATGGGTATGTACGTAACCACCATGGTTCTGCTGCCTTCTGCATTTGCCTTGTAGGGAAAGAGGAGCCACAGAAGGTCCCAAATAGGGCAGTGAGGGGGTGCCAGCCTTCAGAGCCCCATTCCCAGCAAGCATTTCCTTCCTCTATGGCAGGTATAACATGCACACATAAGTGCCCGCAGAAGCATCCCTGCCCACCAGGTCCCTCCGTGCATTCCCACTGCACAGAGGTGCTCTCTGGAGATCTTCCTGTGCTTGAGTGTGGACGGGACATCCAGGGGTTAATGGAAGGAGTGTGCCCCATGCTAAGCAGTAGCTAACAGCCACTAGCTAATAACTTTATGGCTTCAAAGCAGGGCATTTATCATGCTGAAGTTTGTTTATGCACTAGTTGTATGGCGCATTATACCAGCACTGTGTTTGGCTGATAAATTCTCCTTGACAAGCGAGGCTAGCAATGGGGACTTACCAAGTCCAAAAGACCAGTAGCTTTTTCCTGAACCCTGCTTCATGAGATAAGGATGTTTTTTCCCTCTTTTGTTTTGGAAGGAGGAAAGAAAAAAAAAAAT